CGGCGTCTATTCCGAGTCCGAAGTAGTTGTTCATCACAAAGATAGCCGTATTGTCTTCCGATGTGGAGCCGGAACTGTTGGCCGGGAGGCCGGGCTTCTCCTCCATCTGTTTGGTGGCCTCATCCGAATGGAACACAACTGTCCACCGGTCTAACCGGATCTCTTCGGCGTCGATCACGTCCTTTAGCACAGAGACCGGGTCCTCCTGACCGGTATAGCCCGGACCCCAACGCAGAACTCGCGCCAAGTCGTTACCCGTGCCCAGTGGGACGATAGCACAGGGAGGCGATTGGCACTCGGAATCCTGGCCCACGTTATCCAGACATTGAAGGACCTGATGGTTGCCATTAAAATATATGAATTAATAAAATGCCTAATTTTAAGAATATTCTATCCATTCACTAATGAATTCAAATAATTATAAATAACAAAAGTATTCATATATTTGTTTGCAATTTTATATAACAAAGTCATCGCTTACCCAACCGACCGTTCCGTCCCCTCCGCAGACTAATATCTTATAGTCTTTAATATGTCGACAAACATATAAACTACAAACAAATTCAATGCAATTCATTGTAAATAGAAATTATTGCAGTAAAATATATGCCGAGAAGACATACCCAGGTAGAGGTCCTCCGTTCTCGAGATCATAGACCTGATAGGGGTTCAGAAGTTTACGGAATGATGATATAAGTTCGAGACCCTGACAACCACCACTTTTTACATTTACAAATACTAATAACGGCTATAATTATAATGCGAGACAACCATTTTTATCAATGTTTAGAAAATGAGGGCACAAGACATACCCTAACGCCGGGAGGAATCATATCAGCCATGATATTAGGCAATAGAAGAACCAGAAGATTCTTGTCGTCGTAACTCGACTCTCGCAGCATATAATAGGCTTTGACGGCAATGTCTGCGTTATCGTAGGTCACTATCAGTGATCCGTATTCGTAATATATTGGACCGATTTGTCGATATTTATATGCTATACGAACAGAGAGCTCGTTACTAGTCAAACCCTATTATACCGGAAGCGTGGCGTGAATTTACCCGTAAAACACTTACGTTTCCCTAGTAATTCAACTAAAATTCTTTCGTATTGTCGTTGAGACAGATTCGGTGGTAAATTTCCCACAAAAATGGCGACATTGGAACAGTAGACTTCATCCACCTGTTGCAGGTAGAACCGGGTGTTGTCTTTCTGGCGAATTGAGTCCTACGTCCAGACAATTGTCACACAAAATACATTTTATCATTACATTTTAAATAAAATAGTCGCTTGTTTTTGTAATTAATATAAAATATCAATGCACATACCCGTGCTAAACTTTTGATAATAGCCCAGGGACTCTCTGTGTTATCCATAGTTCTCTCGTGAACAGCTATTAACCCAAATATACAGTTATATTATATAACTTATATATATATATATATATATGTTAAATTAGAAATAGATTATTAATTGAACGATTGCTCACATCCTTTGTCTAACGACACTTCAACCAAACGATATCGATTCAAATCACCCGAATCTAAGCCGAACTGATCCAATGCGGCGATCATCACGTTAAATTAGAAATAGATTATTAATTGAACGATTGCTCACATCCTTTGTCTAACGACACTTCAACCAAACGATATCGATTCAAATCACCCGAATCTAAGCCGAACTGATCCAATGCGGCGATCATCACGTCCTCGACACTGGTGTCCAGAGTCACGGGAATGACTCTATAGGTGTCGGTCACGCTATAGGACAACAAATTAATTTATTATACATATAGGTTAAACAGCAAGAGTTTTCTATAGATTTACTTTAACTTTCCCGGATACACTTTTACGGAACCTTCATCTGGATTGGGCGGTCTATACCTGTTTTATTGATTTTATACAAAATATTAATAATTAGTTTATTTTATAAATCTTAAAATATTAATTTGTTATAATATTATATATATATTACGAATACTTATAAAAGTATCTGAGAAAAAAATCGCCTACAGCTGTGAAAATGGAGCTGTATGGATTCTTAGAGAATTTTTGTATTTTAAAAATTAAAAAAATTATTTTAAATATCACGCTATTATTGAAATTAGGTAAAGCCTAAAAAGTAGAATATTACTGTACATATAAAAGTTAATATTTATTTTAGAAATCTCAAGATTATAAAATAGTTTAGAAACTACTTATAAAATACAATACTATGATATTTGCTAACATTTATTCCTAATTCAATCATGTTATCCACACTTTTTATAATTAGTTACCCAAAAACTGTCATATAATGACTGAATTATATACAAATAATAGGTATATTTGTGATGATATACAGTACCTGAAGAACAGTCCGCATCGTTTGCCTTCGACCCTAATGAGACTCTGGACGGGCATGAATTCGCAGAGCTCTTTCTCATTGGTATCTGAATGAATGAATGCACAAACAAAACACCATTTTAAACACATTCATCAGTAATTAATTTACATTTCATTTGAATAGTATCTAGAATATTGTATATACAATCTGTTGTAGAATACAATGCTTTTCACAAATACTTATTTTCAAAATCTAAGCTGAGGTCAAAAGCGACCACAAGACCAAAAGCGATCGTACGATTAGGTATGATATGAGAAAGTATGACAAACCGTAAGCATCGGTGATAATGTAATGGCGGGGATCGTCGTGTATATGGAATGCTCGAAGACATGCAGCTATAATCTGGTCTTTGGTGGCGCTCCTGGAGATTGTGATTGTCCTAAATGTTCGTCTTTTCATCGAAGCGTTTCCGTCATAGACTTTGATTGTTTCTATTGGTTGCCAAACAATGGGTTTAAAACACAGCCATCGATAAGATATGATTGAATACCTTCGTCCTTATCCTTGTCTTTAGGCGACGGATATTCGTCGGCGTCTTTGCTTCTGATGTCAGAACCGGAAGAGAATTCTTCAGAAGCGCTCCGAGCTATACATCCAATCATAGCATTCATTGTATTAATTCATTCATTTAAATACATTCTTTGATACGAGTATTTAGAGTCAAGAATTTGTTCATTAATTTTGTAAAAGACATTACAATTTGTAGCAAGCTATTATACCAAGAAAACATCTATAAAATCATTTTTCTTTAAAATCACTTTATGATCACTATTGAAATGCATTAAAAATATTGCTTATAATATGATTGTTATATGTTATATGATTGTTAATTGTAAGAATTCATACGTGAATTGGTTTCCTTTTTCCTATTCTGGACCCCAATAATAGTCTCGAGAGGAACGTCAGTCCTGGGAATGCTTATACAAAATGGTGGTAACATAATCGACTGCAACCATCCGAAGTTACATTCCTGCGCCAAATGACGGTAACACACGGCGTGTGCCTACAGTCACACACAAACACACATACATCCCATATATTAGTGAATGGCATGTCTTAAGTGGTGAAATGGTTGTAGTAAATAAGATATGAATAAACGAGACATACGGTAGACCCGCACCACTCGCATCTCATGCCCGCCAAACACTCGGTAGACCAACACGTCTTCTTGCAATAATGACACTTAGAATTGGCCGGAAGGTTGCCTTCCCTCCAGTGGTGGCTTTGGACTACTTGTAGCTACAATTCACCACAAATTCACGTGTTTTAGCAGTTTATCAACAAAATTGAAAATACAATCTATAATTTAATTGATACAATAATTTTGAAGAGCTAGCAATAAACAGTTTAGTATATTCTGTAATGTCTCCTATACTACAAATCAATTCATTTGTTTTATTCTTTGCTTCATTTTAATATAACTTTATAAATACAAGTAATTCATAATTTTATTGTTTACTCGACAAACTATTTACTAATATTAATAAACGGATATTAATGAACTGTAATGAAGCAAAATATTGATGTTTATATAGTACTCAAGCACATTTATCAATGAATATTTTAATACTACTACGATTGATGATGTAAAGTACACACTGAACTATTCAAATATCAATATTCTGTGAGAAAATAACCAGAATATATTGAACATTAACTGTACTGACTTGTGAGTACTATTTGTATAACAATTTGTTTTTCCTAAAAGTTATGTTAAATAAAATTATCAAGAAATCATATTGAAAATAAATGAAAACCCATATAAACTATATTAAATATCGTGTTTGTAACAGGGAACAAATTCTCAATCACACAATTTTTACTTATAATTCAGAGATTTTAAAATTAAACACAGTTGTAAATATTTAATAAATTATGTTTTAATACGATATTAAACTTTCATAAAACCATTTACTCTGAAATTGTGGAAATAAAATGTATGTTTGAGAACATGTTCATAATTCATACAATCTGTATGAATTAGCGGGAATGGTGTAGTGGTTGGACATAGTGGACATACCAATTCTTGGTCAGGAACATAAGTGGCACATTCCTTACAGTCAGGTACGCTGAAGTCGTGACAATCTAAATGAACACAGTATTCGCATATCTCGCACCTGACGGCGCTCTGGTCCTCAATTCGTTTGCGGCAAACGTTACAGAATTTTCGCTTTAAATGACCGCAATCTGACCAACAATGAGGTACCGGATTCTGTAGCCATTCCCATGGGAAACACAACAATGTTAGTCGATGTTCAATGGCATTTGGGTTTATTTAATCAAATCACACATACCTTGATAACATTGGAGGCAACCGTAGAACACGGAGAGACCACTGTTTTGAGGCATCGGTCGTGAACAACAAAATTGCAAACTATTCGCATAAATAAGAAAATAAAACAATTTCACTCATTATATAAACAATAAGATTAATAACGAATTCTACAAAAACAATACATTCCCACAAAAGAATTGCAAGAATTATCTCATTTTCGATACAATTTACAAATTTTTTTTATACGATACTGTTAGCTAATTAATTAATTCGTTATAATATTTTTTAAATTAATAATAAACCGATTGATTTAACAATTCTTACTGCTCATTATGAAAATGAATAATTATTACAATTATTTATTTACTTTAACAAACCCCTAAATCTATTTCAAAATTCTGTTTATATATACACGAACATAATATTTAAGCCACAATTTTTTTGGTCTAATTAGATATAATATTGTATGGATTATATTTGCATTTTGCATTTTAATTTTGCAAATTAACCTTTTATTTAACCACCACCATGAACAATTTGTCATAAATATTTTATTTTTGTAGTATTCATTCAATTCGTTGGTTTTGAATAAAAGAATCCCAAACAGAATAATTGACATTTGCTTTGTATTTGCATTACTGTTCAATCATATGAAACCCACATTTAATGATTATCCCCTTTGAGAATATGTATATCAGATGTTCAATATTCAAATCCTAGTATAGATTTCATGCGAATTATCAAAAATAAATTTCAATTAAAAGCTAAAGAATCGACAATAAGCTGAAGGAAAAACGATTTGCCTAATTCTGTCATTGATATCGTGTACTAATTTTTTTACATAAACTAATTAATTGCTGTATTCTATGGCAAACATAGCTTATTAAATGTATAATATGAATTATAAATTATACGAATAAAAATAAATCAAAAACGATATGTTTGTAATTTTTAATAATTTATGCTAACCTTATGTTATTTAATACAAATACAAATAAACAGCTCGTGTGTCACGATATGTATAACATATATGAAACAAACCAAACAAAACCAAAAAAATACTTAAAGAATAACAGAATCCTGTCATTGATTTGGCGGGTGTAGGGGTGGGCTGGGAGTGAACGGACGAGTACAGACGCATACCTTCGCATATGAATCCCTGTCCGATGAGTCCCCATAACATGTCGGTGCAGTGGTGGCAATAGGTGGGCTTATGGAAGGTTTTCTTAGTGAAATAGTGTCCGTGACCGAACTGGTCGTATTCGGGCAGCACTTCCGTCGTGGGACTGGCATTCTCGATGGTTTTGCCGCTCCAGTTGGGCCGCCCGCTGGCCGCCATAGTATTGTCGCTCCACTTACGTCGAAACCAAGTGCTCAGCGCCTGAAGAGCCAGCGATCGTTGGCTACGACGACGAGGAGACCTATCTGTGGTGTGGTATCAGTGGCGCTGCGATGTGGGGCCCAATACTGCGCTGGTAGTCGTGGTGGTCGGGGACATCGCCGCACACGGCACTCATAACACGGGTAACTCATGCACTGGTGGCGGCCCCTCTCCTGTTCACTGTGTGGCCGGGCCTTCGAGAAGTTGTTTGGGTTCGCGGATCAGTCACACCAATAGTATATCCATTAGAAGATGGCGACCACCGCTCTCTGTTGCCATTTGGCTCTCATATTCTCTACATTTCTATGTTTTGTAAACTTATAGTCTGTAGAAACATATAGACATATATGCCGTATATATACGAGCTTTCTATAGAATATATATGTGTGTATATTCTGCTAACGAATATACACTCTATTCCACGCAATGCCAATAAAATAGCCCACTATTGCGCCCAATATAGTCGTCTATATAGTGGAAACACCATCAGAATACCAGTGCTCGCTATGCCTGTGCACACAAAATGCTTAAATTGTCACTTAAATGCTTGCCATTCATCCACTTCGCGGATATATATATACAGTATAGCTATATATTCTGTGTTTATCTGTATATATATTCTGCACAACCATATGATGAGCGCACTCTCCAAACCAGACACTGATAAGCATTTTATCCGTTCAACAGCTGAACAATTGATTTCTCTTTGAATTTCAAATTCTCTAAACATTTACTTCTATTTCTATTTAAGTCAATACAATATTCAACATTAAGCTAATATTTTATTTGAATGCACTCATACTCTACTCTAGTTTAATACATTATTATTAATTATATATTTTAATCACTTTATGGAATTTTTATATGAATAATAGATTGAATTATTTTATTTTAAAAAACTTATTTTTGTTGTTTGTTTCGCGAATTCTTTGTCAAAAGAGTCCTTTCTATCACTGATTATTCACACATTTGTCGCACAATATATTACAAATTCTGTGAAATTTAATTAAAAATCAATTTCAAATCCACATACACGCCATTAAAATAAATCCATACTCGCGTAAATGAGTATTATATTGAAAATAAAATCCACTTTAAAAATACAAGTCTCATTGGTAACAAATATCTTATTTATTTGAAATCAAGTTAAATCAAAATACATGAAACACAATAAAATATCACAACAAAAAAAAATAAAACAATGAATTAAACTAAAAAAAAGTACAAACAAAAAAATAAAACAAATCCATTGCGATGTAGCGATCACTGGGTGTTGAGGACACAGATGCCCTCCTTAACCACCCGCCGATACAGTGCTATATATTTGGCCGCATTCTTAGTTCGCGGGACAATAAAGTCTTTGCAGAACTGGGTTTTGCTGTTCAGCGACGGCTTCAGATCCTTCACGCGAAGCATTCTGTGTGTAGCGGACGGACACCATAAACGGCAGCAAAACAAAAGACAATCAATCAGTCGTCGAGTCGTTTAAGTGATATAAATTGTGGACAGAATTATACGGCGTTAAGACATAAATACCTCAAAAACGTGATGACAAACGAATAGCAATTGTTTTGGTCCTCTGAATACTGATTGGGTTGCCATCGATCCATTTGGGCGGCGATCTGCAGCGTGTAGTCCCAGTAGTCTTTCCACATGTTGTCCACGTCAGTCACGATGGGAACGCTGAGGCACTGGTTCCACGACGAGTTCCCGGTGCCCGACCGCAGACCGTATTTGTCAAACTCATAGACGTCTCCCTTGGAGTCCGTCAAACCGATGTGAAGATCGGCCGCATTCTGATAGTGACTGCAAT